TGGCAGCCCTGTACTAGGTCTCCCAGACTGTAACACTTACAAAAGGATCGACTGATAGAGGCCCTACCTATCAGAGTTACAAGTTCCCCCCCAAAAAACACACTTCTTGCCATCCAGTTTATTCACAGCAATCCACTGGTTTCTGAAGTTACAAATCTTTTTTATTATTATTATTCTAGTTCATTTACAAAATTCAAATACACAAATCTTTTTTAAATTAATTTAATGAAAGTTTACAGAGACATTGGATTTCCATTCATTCACTGTTGTACTTTTCTCCCTGCCTACCCCTCAGTTCGCTCTTCTCTTTGAAAAATAAAAGAAAAATTCTTTCATTGTTTTACAATCCCTCCCCCCCAAGTTCACTCTACTGTGCAGCCTTCATTCTGGACTCCTGTCATGACACTAATACCTAATCATATATTCCTTTTAAACATTTCTCTGCCTCAACTGTTTCAATGCAGTATACATTATTTATCTCTTCTTTCTCAGCCTTCCTCAACCCCAATGTCATATCCATTTTGCAACAGTGGCACTATGCAGTATTTGTCCTTTTGTGACTGAGATAGTTCCCTTAGCATAATGTCCTCCAGGGCCATCCATTTACCCATCTCTCTCCCTTAGAATCACAAATGGTTCAGAACCTCAAGAAACACGTAAGTTTTCAGTGAGGGTTACAACATGCAAGGGGCTAGGTCACCATGCTTCTTTGCAGATTCCCTGTAAGACCACAGTAAAAATTCTCTGCCCAGAATTTCTGGACACTGACTTGTTTTTTGTTCATCTTTATCAGAAATCAGCAAAGAGAAACAGTCTTCCATATTGAAACACGTTTTGTATAAACCTATTGGCTTATCTACCCTCAGATACCAAAATAACTTTTTTTTTCAGGGTCCTGTGGTCCTCTCTCTAACAGCAGAAAAGCTACCACTGCAATTTCTGAAGTTTATATGCACCAAGAAAAGGTGGTTGGCCCAGGGAGGTCCCAGAGGAGGGGCTGGGCAAGTCTCTGCAAGTTGTTGCTATGAAGGTCAAGGAAAGCCTGGGAAGCAGAGAAGAACCAGCTCTGGGTTCACTCCCTAAAAAAATTATCTGCCCTTCATGGAGTTTTTCTAGCACCTTCCATAAAAATTCCAGGAAGATCCAAAGTTATGGCATATAGAGTCAAAAAATCTAAGTCGAGCAAATTCCAATGATGCCAAGGCAGGGTACTGCAGAGTTTCCAAGGGCAAAGTATTCCAGAAAAATGCAGATAGTTCAGGCACACCAAAGAGATTCCAGGCAAAGAAAAGCAGCTGCTCTCTTAGAAAGTCTAATTACAGAACTGTAGTTTAAGAGCTGGGATAAAGAGGTTGGCCACACAAGAGCCAGGCAAAATGTCTATTATGGATTCTAAGTCTATTAGGGTTTCTACCCTTCCCCTCATTTCATGGCCACTTGGAAGACTGACTGGGCCATGCAGGAAACACAGAAATAATTTGCACATCTTGCTGTCATGATACTCTGCTATTCATTTTGAGGGTGTCAGCAAACTGTTTTACGTTTACTGTGGGCATGAAAATGTCTTCTTTCCAGGACTTGAAAGTTTGCTGCTTTGAGTATGTCTTGGCGGAGGGGAAGCTGAGTATCATCAAAACAACAGTAATCCCTCCCCCACGTGGATATGCCTCAAAGCCACAGGTAAAATATACAGATCTTTTGAATCTTAAGACATTCAAACTTGGCATCTATTGGACTATTTCAGAATTTCGGGACAAAAGATTTCTTGCTGTTCACATCAGCACCACATAAATGTCAGCCTTTGGGAAAATAAACTGACTACACAATCTCCTGATCCATTTGTAATTAGGTTTTGCCCCCTCACGTACCTGTCCTCAAATATGAATTCTCCCTGGCTATAAAAATAGTATTCTTTGCAGTAACAAGTGGCAAACAAACTATAGGGAGAAGGGACCTCTCGGGTCTGTGAGGTCAGCCTCACCAGGAAGCTTTCAGTCAGCTTTGACTGTGTTAAGACTCCAGCCACCTTCTGGCCAGGGGTCCTCTGCTGGTTCAATTACTCCTGAATAGAAGACTCGCAGAACGCACAGAAACTTCAAAATACACAAAGAGAAGGCACTGCTAGTTTACAGTTCTAAATATTAATAAAACAAGTAAAAAATCTATGCATGTATATACACACACACACTCCATCAATGTTCACAATACTACTTCCCAGCATGACTAAATCAAGTGAAACAACTATAAGCTTTCTATGTGATAAAACAATGTACAGAAATACACTTTCACTATTTACAAAGTTCACTAAGCTAAAATGATCCCAGAATTTCCAAATGTCTCAGCTTGCACTTGTGTGACCTTAATCTAGCCAATATTAAAACAAGGGGAAAGTAGGTTTAACAAACCAATGCTTGCCTATTTAAGTAACTAAATTAGGAAATTTAATTCTTTAACTCTTTAAAAAGGCTTTGTCCTATGCATATGATTTAGTCTCAAGCAGGCCCCAGGAACCAAAACTACACTTAAAGATTCTGTACAACTACCAGTAGTAATATTTAGTTCCAAAGTAGTCTCTGCTCAGTTCTAAAACAAATACATTTGGTTGATTTGCGCTTTAAAACTAGTTTTCTGTAGATGTTGCTGAAATTAAAAGCAGTCAAAATTTCTCAACTGTGGATCTTTACAAAGAGTCTTTAACAAGCAGCTCATTTTTATGAAAACTATGTATCAAAAGACTAGGCATGAACTAGATATAACAGCTCAAGTTGTTTCTTTTCTTCTTAAAAATACCCTCTTACTCAAACTGAAAATGTGCTTGCTGTAATCTGACTTGCAGCAACTGTGGTTACACCAGAAGACATTTTTTTTTATTTGAAAATTTCTGCCTACCAAAGCCCCATGAGGCTCCCACTGGGCCTCCAATGCTGGACAGTTAATTCCTTAACACTTACTAGGTCCTCTAGATCTGAGAATAAAATCAAACAAGGCTAACATTGCATCTTTAAAGGGGATTTAATGTTATACAAGAGGCAAAACTCAAAATAATCCCAAACCATTGCCTTTTTGAGGAACAACATTCTGCTTGGAAGAGCAGGTCAGAAGACCCTCAATGAGCTAGGACACAGTGACTTTAACAATGGGCTTCAGCCTATCAGAGATAGTGAGAATTAACACAGGCTAGAGCAAGGCTCAGATCTGTTACTCACAGGGCTGTGGTTAGGGTCAACTCCGTGGCACCTCACAAGAATCTTTAGTCAGGAAAGCTAATGTAGGTTTTGATCACTTGTAAGCAAGTAAAAGGATGGTCCAAGTACACATATTCTTTGAATACAAAAAAAGGGATGCTATTTTTGGGTTTTCTAATGGCAAATGCTTGGTAATAAAATAATTTAAATAGTATTGATAGATAAGTAAATAAGCCAAGTTCATAAAAATTGTAAGTCAAACTGGAATTGGCAGACAATCCTGATTCTGTTATTTAAGAGATTTTGTCCAGTATCTAGACAAAGAAGATACTTTCCCTTTTTCCAACACTTGGTGAACTGACATAGACTACCTAACAATAAATGAGGTTTATGGTAAGTGATATTTTTACTCCAAAACATATTTAGTAAAAAAATGCTGTATGCTTCTGCGGGAACTTCAACATGATGTTAACATGACCTTTCTGACACACATTAACCACAAGGATGACAGTTATGTAAAGCATGTTTGGTGTAGCAACTGAGTAGCCAAGACCCAAGTCAAGCGAAAGCACGGGGAGTAAGGAGTTAGATGCGCCTTTACAACAAATCCTCCACCTGTAACTGAGAAACTGTCAGCTTCCGGAGGACTCCCCAGAGCTGGACTACCCTCCAGTGGACCTGGGTGCACCTGCCTCCGCTGAGTTTGTCGATCTCTGAAAGGGGGAGCGGCCAAAAATCAGAGATTCGGCGATCCTCAACCCCCAATGGAACCAAAAGGTGCTGCGCGTTCCAAGACAACTTCTCAAAACGCGGTGCGAAGAAAAAAACCCAGCTTTGCCCAGCGCCAACCTCTGCACTCACTGGGGACCGAGAAGGCGACAGAGAAGACAAGCACATCTCCAATGCTGGTCACTCCACGCGACCCCCCGGGTGCCCAACTAAAGGACTCGGACTCTGGGCGCGGCCAAATCTGCAAGTACTTCCCCGCGTGGAAAGCGCTCGCCCCGCGGCCAAGGCGCAGAGCACGCGCGGCCCGGACGTGCTGGCCCTTTAAAGGCGCCGCTTCCTGCGCCGCGGCCCCTCCCTCGCCGCCCGCCCCCGCCCCCGCCGAGGGTCACACTTGAACTTTAGCTCGCCCGCGCGGCTAGGCGCCTGAGCTCCGCCGGCGGTAGCCGCCCCTTTGCACGTGTCGGAGGTGTTACGGGGGGCTAAGCGCACCTCTTGCGTCGCCCCTCGCACTGGAGACCACTTCGGAGAAAAATCAAAACAAAGTGAAATGGGCACTTGCAGCCAAAAACTGCGTGGCTTGGAACCCCGCTTCCCGTGACCCTCCACCTGTGGCCCTAGCGCCGCGCCTCCCCAACCCAGCGCGGCGGAAACCACTGGGGAGACGCGCCCCGCGGAGGCAGAGGAGCCGCCCTCGCCCCCAAAGTCCGAGAGGGATGGGAGCTGCGGTCAAGGGTGCACGCCGGTCGTGGGGCGCGGGCCCAGAGGAACCTCCCACTCCTCTTGCAAACTTCTTTACTGTCCACTGCCAGGCGTACTTTCTTCACTTAGTCCCCACAGAGGCCCCGGCCCTGTCCCATCAGATCTCCTAAACGCGCGCGCGCGCGCACCCCTAGAGGATCCCCTGACCTGGTCCAGGTCGCAGCAGACCCACCACCCACTTCGGTCACTTCTCTCTGCTCTTGCCTGGACCAGATGCCCTCTTGCCCCGCACTTCCAGAAAGCGCAAGCCCGCACAGGTGCCCCTCACCTGCCCACCGCTAACCCAGCAGATGCAAGGGTGCCCACTCGCGCACTCGGCCCGCTCACCTTCCAGCCCGCCGAGCTGTTGCTGTCGCCCTTATCCTTGAAGTAGGGCACGCTCTTGACCATCCACTCGTAGATCTGCGACAGCGTGAGCCGCTTCTCTGCCGAGCTCTCGATGGCCTTGGTGATGAGATCGGCGTAGGACAGGTTGCCCCACGCGTTGCGCCGCGAGGAGCTGCTCTTGCGCGGCTGCCCCGCGAGCGGCCCGGCGGCGGCCGGCGGCACCGGTGG